GCTCGACCAAATAGTCGCGGAGGGCCAAAACCAGTGTGCGGGTTTTGGCGCTGCCTCGCCAACCCTGAAGAGTGGTTCACGACAGTGAGAGGATATATGGGCATAACACACCTGATCCTTCCAAACTTGGCGCATAATCTGCCAGGGCGTCACGCATCTCTGTAAGTTGAATTGAATTTAAGGCGAGATTCGCACCTTGTCTTTCAGCCGAAGATGCGGTCCGCCCTTCAAAAATTTGATCACACGATCCCCCTCCTTATGAATGTCGTTCTTGAGATCCTCGCTAAGCAAATGCAGACTCAAATCCAAGCGTTTCGAGAAGCTCTCCATATTTTCTTCGATCACCGAGGTAATATCGCTCCGGAATTCCTTGCGCAGCGCCGCCAGACCCTGGTTGTGCTGCTCTTGCGGTCCTGCCCCGCCCATCCGTGGTCTCCCAGGGCCTGCAGCGTACGCGGACTGGATATTATGTGTGGTGGTCTGATCGTCCTGGAGCTTGAGGAGCACGGTGCATTTGGCGTCATCCGCCATGACTTTGTTCACGCTGGCTTCGTCAACCCCTCCGTTTGCGGCAAAGAACGCCTCGATCATGCGGTCTTGCGGGGTTTTGAAGGATTGGAACTCCTTCATGAATTGGTCGTGCATCCTTGAAGAAATCAAGGCCCCGAACGTATGAGATGGAGCCACAAGACTTACTCTTTTAACCTGCGTAAGCCTCAATAAACTGGCCGTAGTTGCGGATTTACAATGGCGACTTACATAGTGCTCATGTCTTGGATTGTCGTTGCGGTATTGAGCGTAAGGGCGAACTGAAGCTCCTGGCGTCGGGTCGTGAACCTGACTTTGAAGCCTGCAAGCTTGTCGTTCCACCCTGACGCCTTGCAGAATTTGACAATCAGAGACTGTTTCTGCATCGCATCCAGGGCTCAAGAATGCATCTCCGTAAGATTTCTGAGGGAAGTCGGGAGGAGTATACGCACTATTGTAGCATTCTTCAATGTCCTTTTTCATCTGCTGACCGAGAGCCGCAAGCCGCGTCACTACGGGCTGACCGTCGGGCGTCTGCCGTTTATCGTCCGGAGTGATGCCCACTCCTTTCATCCTGCATATTGTGAGGCTGTGACAGTCCCCAAGCCAGTAAAAACTCACTCGACGGTTACGAGCATGACGTCCTTGATTGTCTCAAACAGAGCTATCCTGCTCCTTTGGAAGAGATCAGTATATCGTATTGAACAACGAGTTTTTTGAGTACTTCTCATTATCATGCCGCTTCATCTCCTGTTTGTATGCAAACTGGAACGGCAAGAATGCAGCTGGAGAGATGTAAGTGTCGTGAGCCGCTTCTCCGATGAATACCAGAATTTCACGCGCACCTGCCGCGAAAGGGTGGACCTTTGAAAGGCCCTCGAGCGCACTCATGAGCGCCGGTACCCCACTGAGGATGGCTTTTCCGAATTCTTGCACCTCTTCATTTGCGGCGATAGTTTTGATAGTCGCAACCACGCCAGTCGATGCCGACGCAGCGGCCCCTGCGTGCGTGGATTAATAAGTGGGCAAGGCTGAGGATCCAATATAAAAAATCGTACCCGCTCCATTCTCGACTTTATTCAAAAGCTTTTCGGCGTTGGAGACGTTTCCATTCGGATTGTTGACCGCTTTCCATATCTTCTCTTCCGTGGAAACTGCGGTTATCGTAACGGTTGCGGTCATTGGCCCCGGTTGAGTGCTTCCGCTGGGGCCCGCAGTCCCACCTGGTGCACGTGGCTGTTCGTTGGCCTTCGCAGCCTCATCTGAGAAACTGGATGGCGATACAAGACGCACGGGCAGAGTCATTCCTCGACGCATCTCTTCCCGGGTAGATGCAGAATCTTCCCCATTTAGAGCACGTGGAGTCAGAGCCGGCACGGGAGGAGCGGGGTCTTGATCATCGTCAGAATGGTGGTTTTTTAGGCTGTGGTGGGAGATGCGGTGTAAAAGACGCTTCATCCTGGCGCGGACGACAGAGACGAATGGTTTGGGGAAGGAAACCAAGGAACGATCCTTGTATATATGGCTTACCAATCATGAGGCGATGCGTGCGAGGGCGTCCCGCGAAGATCGCCTTTTAGGATGCGCGCTGCGCGCAAAGTTCCAAATGGGCGCTGATAGGCGCCGAGAAGATGATGCAGCACCTATTGGTGGAACCAAAATTGGCGTCGATCAAGAGGCTCGCAGTTTTGGGCGCCGGACGTCCGACACAGTCCGAGACCTGCGGACACTCGTCGAAACGGAAGTGATGTAACTTTACCGGATCGTGCCAATCAGAGTCCATCAGTCCAAGTTGTAAGGATACGAAGCACATCGAGAAAATGAGTAGACATACAACATTATCCAGGCGAAATTTATCCCATCTACCAGGGATCGATAATTTTCTAAAAAAAGATCGGCCGTAAACAGCAAGTAACCAGGCGCAGAAATTCAAGGATCTGAAAAGTTTGGCGCGTCCGCCAGGCCCTGCCAAGGAGAAAACTGCAAGACCGCTGGCGGCGGGTACGTGAGCTCGACATGAAGGCCACTCTGCAACAACGACTGCAGTTCCGGTCTAATGTCGAGCACCATGTCCCGCGCAAAGCGGATCACAACCCGATTCAGCGACCTTGACTTGATGAAGCGCAAGAGCGCCTCGTCAGAAAAGGAACAGCAGTAGTTTATCTCCAGCGCTTGCAGGCCTGGGCACCAAGACGAGGGGAGGTCGGGCGAGGGAGTGAGAGACGCTAAAATGTCGTCGTCGAAAATGTCAGAGCCCACCTCCCGCCATCGAATAGGGAATTCGTTGACATCGATTTCTCGAATGGTGGGCGGCAGACCACGAAGGAAATCGGACAGAGACGACTTTGAAAACAATTCAATGTTGATATCGAGGCTTTCGATGCGCGGAGCGGCGGCGAGGAAGGGGGAATATGAAATATTGTCGTCGTGATTCGCATTTCCGCGAAGCTTGCAGTGCCGCAATTGTGGGAACGAGAGCCGGCCGAACAGCTGGCGAATGGTTGAGGAGAGCGTGCCAACACATTGCAGATCCAGGGTATGAAGGAAGGAGAGCTCAAGAACGGAATCTGCGACTGTGCTGCCGGTGTCGGGACCGTCATGAATGAGCAGTCGACAGCTGCGCAGCTGAGGGCAGCGGGAGAATACCTGCAGCGACATCTCGCTCGTCATTGAGGGCCCTCCAGCGGTCCATCTTTCCGCGATCGAAAGCTCTCTCAAACCATCCCACCGAAGCGGCAATTCCACGGGGTTAAAACTGCTTCCCATGATACTGAAGGAGGAGATTTCTTGGCCGCGAAGGAATCCCAATGAGCCCCATTGAACGATATCCTCCGAGGGTTCGTGGATCTCGCTGATGCTGACCGATTTGAGCCTCGGCACGTCTCTCTCGGTAAGATGCCCGATGGTCGCCAGAACAGAAAAGAGGCTTGTGAGGGTGATATGCTCCCAACGGGATGCGAATGGGACCAGGGCCTGAATGAGGTGGTTTTGGGTCGCGGAAGTGAAGCCGGTACGGTCAAACGTGGATTGTAGGGATATGGAGAGGGGGCACTGGCCGGATCGACCGAGCCACATCTTGGTAACCTCGAGTCGCTGCGCCAGCTTGTCTTCGAATACCGGAAGGGCGGAATCGAAGGGGCATGTGGGCTCTACGATGTGAAGCCGCGACCACAAGCGCGGCGTTGAGAGGGAGATTGCTCTCCAAGCGCTACATATGCGCCCAAGGAGGACGGGCGCATCCATCGCACTCATGGCGCAGTTACGGTGCGTTGGAATGCATGCTACAAATATTTCTTGAATAATGTCGAGCGGAAGTCGTCGAACCGGTGAAATGAGGGCCTTGTGGGCGTCTACAAAGGCGCTGAGCCCGGCGCGTTCCTCCGCGAGCTTATCGAGCGCCTTCTGTAAATCGGCGATTTCATCGTCGAGACGCTTCAATCGGAGGATGGGTTCGGTTAGAAGGGCTTGTATTTCCTCTACCTCTTCGTCCTGGGGACAATAATTGGTCCCTAGCTGTGAGGTGAACGGAGACGACATGAAAGCTTAGGCGGAGGCGGTGCATGTCGCTAACACGACCACGTGAATTGATCGTAAATTGATGGCGCGTTGGCGCGTCGGTGATTGGGCACATCGAATCGATGGGTAAAGCTGGCGCGTCACCTCACCGGAAGCTGAAACGGTGGAATGGGAAAGGACCTATCAAACAAATAATGAATAGGAGAATTTATGTATCAAAGACACATCTTTACCTCGAAGAGCCCCAGCGTTTCCGAGTGACAAAAGAATCATTATCGTTTGATAAAGCGAGAACTGAATGAATCGCGCGACTGCCTGGAATTAGCAGATGTGCCTCAATGTCTAATTTACGTACCTGGTTTTGACACGGTGGGGAAAGCCAGATGGCCGGCGCAGATAGCATACTCTTTCTCCCGGATAAAGACATATTGGATTGCCAGAATTTAGAACTCAAGACTTAGCTGGGGCCCGGATTTCTGCCATCGTTACCTTGACAAGCAGTCAATGGGAGCACTCTTCCTGCAGAAGTACTCGAGGACTAACTTCACCGGGAGTGGTGCGAAGCCCGCGGCGCCAAAGATGACCTAGGGTATGAATCGCGCCATATTACGTCTGCGAAGGAATAGGAGATCTCGGATAGCTATGCCACCATCCAGATCAGCGACCAGTCGTCAGCGTTCTAGCCGTAGAGCGTGCAAGGTCCTCGCGAAGATTTCATTCGATAGAAAGCCAACGTACACTCGTGCGAGTCGTGAAGAGCAAGACAGTCCGGCGGATGCCGAGCTCACGTGGCGAAATCAACGAGGGTTCAACTTTCTTCTCTTCAGGCATCCGAACCATGCAGCGCTTGACTTTCATGGTTTTGTCTTATAATACTGAGTATCTCAATCTTACATCCCGCGATAAAAGGAGGATCAAAGGAAGCGGCCCAAAAAACAACGGCGGAAAATCAAAGATGGCCCAGCCTTGAATCGAACAAGGACCTTCTACTAGAAGTTTATACAAACTGGCACATCCTCAGTAAATATGCTAACCATTACACCACTGGGCCATTACTTATGTTTTACCGAAATAGACACAAGACCATTGTTTTTGTCGCCGGCGAGAAAAAAAAAAGACAAAAGATGGGATGGCCCGACCTTGAGTCGAACAAGGAACCTCCCAACATATCTTCGGAAGCAAATTTTAAAAGAGCGGAATGTGATACCATTTCACCACCAGGCCTATAGTTCCCTTACTTACATCTGCCTCCGAGTCTACCTGCATGACCTCGAACTTTGCTAGGTTTATTTTAATCCGGTTTCATCCGTGGGAGCTGAATAAATCGACCCAAAGATGGGGGCTATGGAGGGACTTAACAAGGAGAAATCGGATGCAGAATTGACTGAGACAAAGCGAGGAAATAAAATACAGACACGCCAGGGCGGAGTTCAATGCGTAAATTTGAGAATCAGAGCCGCGTGTTGCCTGCACAGATTCGGGGCTTTCCTGAAAGTTGATCTTCAACGCGTTTACAGAGAAGATAAAGTGAACTGTCGAGCTGAACCATGGAAGAGCAACCACAGAGGTGGATACCGATTTTAGCGGCGGGAAGCACAAAGAAGTAAAAAAAATCGCAAATCAAGTGCTATGGCCTGACCTTGAATCGAACAAAGGACTCCTGCTAAACCCACTTTAACCTCCATTAAGTAAAGCAGGTGTGTTACCGCTACACCACCAAGCCACTTCCTGTATTGCCTAAAAGAAGGCCATCTGTATGATTTCTGGAAACAGCATAAAGAAAGGGGGGAAAAAGAAAAAGAAAAAGAAAAATCCACGTGGGAAATAGCCTAGCCTTGAGTCGAACAAGGTACTCCTACCAAAACCTTCAGGTGAGGGGGGAAAAGTAGAGTAGGTATGTTACCGTTACACCACCAGGCCGACATTATTACGACTGGCTGACTTAATATTGACTGTCGAGTGAACGAACGCTCGGCGAGCTGTGACTTTGAATTTCGGTTGAATTAAATGAGGTGTACACGTGCAATTGAATTACACGCCCGCACTTGGGGAATCCGACTCGGAATAGGAAAGGTTCAATATACAGGAGGCTGTCTAAGCAACGTAGAGTAGGATTGGTGCGATGCGGATACAATGCGATGCAAATTAAGGACGTCAAGTTCCCTAAATACCTGGTTATCATTATCTGGGACAATCTAGCAGGATGATAGCGAGTCGAGGCGTACGATCGAGTGTTCCAGCTTAAGCCTGAGAGCGCGACTCGGAGTGATGTTGGGGAGCTTGGCCTTCAAATTGCGCGTAATGAGGACTCCAAGAATCGACGCGAGGCTTGTGGATGGTGGTCTCGGCTTCGTAGACGGTTGACGGGAGCTGGGTATATGCAGTGGCGGGTCCAGACGGAGACGAGAAGGAGATTTCTGAGCGCCTAGGTGTTTCGTGAAGAAGTGCGAGATGCGAGCTGAGAAATAGAGGGCCGAGATGTGGGGATCCAGTCGATAAGGGAGGCGTCCTCGAGCCGACGTGTTGGAGGCAAATGGCAGATTCGGTCCGCGGATCGTTGGGAGTCCATTTAATATTGATTTACGCGTACTTGCGGCTGCCTTGAGAGGGGGTTCGAGTAGCCACATTCAGGACTCTGAGCTCGAGTCGGAGTCTCAGGTGGACTTTATTCATTCCCGGGGATGAAGGTTCCAGCGTCAGGCACTGGGCGCGCTGGTGTAGTATCCTTCAACGCGTCCAGAAGTTGCCAATACTAATAGTCCGTGCGCGGCTGGGGGAATGAACTGGCCAGATGGGAGGATGAAAGGTCAGATCGTCACGGTTGTCACGGCGGCGGCGACCAAGTCTCGACTCTTACTCTCACAAACTCGCCACACTCTTATAACCACATATGAATTATGGTGCTCTTGAACGAGCACGTAGGCTCCCGCATCGAGCTCTGGCCGGATCAACAAAGGAGAAGGACTCAAAAGACAAAAAAGACTGGTCTTTTGGCGGAGTGCGGCGTCGTCCCGCCGACTCGTCCGTCCCCGACTTCGCTATAGCATGACGCCGCAGCACTAGCGGTTCAATGGAAGACAAGCATCCGTGTGTCCTTCGCGTCTTCCCTCCGTTCCTAGGCTAACCAACAGTACAGCGCCGTGCGGTGACATCGCCGAGTACCAGCACACCGCGTCAGACTCTTCAAGGGCACAAGTGGCGAGAGGGGTTATGAAATCCTCAAGCTTCCCCAGATGCTGGCCCTCCTCTCCGCGCTCTTCCCAACGCCAGGCGCATCCTTCTCCGTCAATCTCTCTTAGAGCTACTACGAGCCGCCAGCCCACCCCCTCACTGCGATGTTGTGGGCTCTATCTGCGCTGCACGAGGCGTTGCCGCGGTGTCCGGCGTGGCACTGGCAACGCACGGTATCGATGTCCGCGTCTCGGCGCATTTCGTGGCGTGCGCGCCTGGCTTTTTCTCTCTCTGCATGCGGCGTGGTCTCTGGGCTTGGGTTGTGTGCGGAGGGCCTGGCGCAATGGCGGGGAGAGCTGTGGCTGCGATGCGTAGGTTAACGCATGTACGAGCTGCCGCCGCTAGCTGGCGTCATCTCTGATGTGATGCCATGGTGGGCCCTGTCCTCTGGCGTGGCATCGTAGTCGATGGCTGGGGGTGCTCTCCCCGCCTTTCTTCTCGTGGTGTGGTGCTGTCCTCTCCGCGTGGGCATTCGTCCCCGGGGGATTGGCAAAGCTTCCGTCTTTCTCTCGTATGGGTCTAGCGGCGGTAGGCGGGGCGAGGAGGAGGGCTGTGCCACGCATTGCTGGCGGCCTTACCTACGGGGGCGGACAGTTATGGCGCGGCTCGGTGGCATGATGCGATGCTTCGTCCTTTGGGTGCATGTGGCCGACAAGCCATCCTCCGGGTTCGCTTCTACAGTCCTCTGCGCCTTGCCTCCATTGCGCTCTTACGACGAGCGGGTAGTGCTCGGCGCCCCCGTATCGCTTCCGCCCGCACGTCCCTCGCTCGCGCGTTTTGGCCCCCGGCGGGGATGGTGGGTGGGTGCGAGGTCCGCGCCCCAGGCGGGCGTCTGTTTGTAAACTCGCGGGGGTCGTGGGCATTGTGCAGCTCCCGGCAGGCGGTGTATCTCTCTCTCGTTTCTACTCGGAGTAAATATGGGCGTCGTGGGCCCGCTCCTGCTCAGGACGGCCGTCCTCCTTCACCGCTCTTCCTTCGAGCTTGGTCGGGCTTTGGATGCGTGCTTGGAGATGCGAGCCGGGCGCTGCGCTGCGTTACGTGCTCGGGCATAGTAGCCCGGGAAAGAGGAGGGGGAAGGGGAGGGTGGAGGAACGCAAGAGGAAGACGATGGCCGGTGGAAAACGACGGCCGGTGGAGGAAGATGAGGGCGATGGAGCCAGAGCGCGTGCGGTGTCCGATACTCCCTCGCGCGAAAGGTGTGTCCTCAAGCTCCACCCTGACGGGGCTCGGACGCGGGACAGCATGAGCGCGATGGGGTGGGTGTCGGTGTCAATGCCCGTGCCCCCCCGGCCCTCTGCGCGGGAAGCTGCAAAGAGGTGGAGGTGTAGATGCACGTCCGTCCTCCGAGTGTAGCGTGAGCTTGCCGCGCTACTTCCGGAAGCAGCGGTGTACGGGCGCTGGGGAGAGGTGGCGATACACGAATCTGCCGCCGCTGTACATGCACTACCGTGAAACGTGTTGCGTCTTCACGTTCTGCGGAGCGCCGGGCAGGGGTGGCGATATCCGTCGCCCGAGCACGTCGGGCTGCACGTAGGGAAGTCAGGTCCACCGTTGTGCGGGACGCTCGATACGAGACAAGCGCGGTCTGGAGGTGTGCGCGCCGCTGAAATCTGCGGGGCGCTGGGCGCAGACACCGTGAAGGTCACATCAAGATGTGTACGGCGTCCTGCGCTACGTCCCGCGCGCCTGGATGGTGGTGCCGCGATGCCGGGCTGGGGTGCGCTCGACGACAGCAAGCTCGTCCGTCTGACTGAGCGCTGCATTATAGGCTTGTAGGCACGTGTGGGTGCCAGGGTACTCTCTGCCGCCGCTCTTCGCCGCGCTTACTTTTGGCGGGCAGCGAGCGATACTCAGAATCTCTCCCTATCGTTTGTCAATTGATGGTATTCTCAAATGCTACCCATCAGAATTCGGTTCGGTAGATTATTTTGTAAGCCTTGTTAATGTATAGAGGCGTATATCCCGACTCCGCCGCTCCCTGTTTACTCCGAATACTCCAATAAGAGCAAAATGAATAACCACGAGTTAGCATCGGAAGCCCTGGTGTTAGGCTCGAGCCTGTCTACCGAAAGTAAACTGTCGCCTCGCACCAACATTGTACAATATGACCATCGTGTGTACAAGACTACAACCAAGCACCTTGTTTGTTGGAAAATGTGAAAAGGGAGCCAGATCTGAAAGCCTTGCAAAGATAGTCAATCCAAGTTTCCGAACACGGGATCGGTTCAATGTACCTTTATACGAATACGCGGTAAGGTGCAGGCACTTAGGGAGCTTGGAAGAAGTTCGGCGCATCCCCTAGGCCCATCCAAGGGGAAAAAGACACCCTAGGTGCATGATAAGTGAGTGCGAGATGAAGCCCATTCTTCACCAAAGGCTCTAGTTCCGGGCGAATATCGAGCTCCATAGCCCGGTCAAAGCAGGTTACAACACGCTTTAGGGCCCGCGATCTGATGAAACGTAAGAGTGCTTTATCGGAAACGGTGCACGAGTAATCCATTTCCAACTCCTGGAGGCCCGGGCACCAGGGAGTGAGGACGTCGGCAGATGGGCTGAGGGACTCTAAAATCCCATCATCGAAAGTCAGGCGTGGATCGTAGTAACCTGCGAGGAACTTGCTGATCTTGAGTTCTCGTAGGGTAGGCGGTAGATCGCGAAGGAAATTAACAAGAAGCGATTTTGAGAACAATTCGATCGTAAAATCGAGCTTTTCGATGAGCTGAGCAGTGGCGAGCAAGGGGGCATAGGGTACGTTGTCGTTATCTGACATTCCGCGAAGTTTTAAATTCCGCAATTGTGGGAACGAGAGCCGGCCGAAGAGGCGGTAGGCGGTTGTAGAAAGGGTGTCACAGTCTAGATCAAGTGTATGAAGAAACGAGAGCTCGAGAACGGGCTCTCCGATTCTGTTGCTACTATCAGGAGGATCATAAACGAGTAGGCGGCAAGTCTGCAGTTGAGGGCAGCGAGAGAACACCTGTAGTGTCATTTCGCTCTTCAAAAGAGGTGCTTCAGAACTCCATTTTCCTATGATCGAAAGGTCCGTCAACCTATCCCATCGTAGTGGCAATTCCAGAGGGCTGCAACTGCTTCCCATAAAGTTAAACGAGGAGATTTCTGGGCCGTGAAGAAAGCCCATCGAGTTGTATCGGTCAGCGGCAGCAATGTGCTCCTGGATCTCGGAGATGGTGACCGACTTGAGCATCGGCACGTCCGCCGGTGTAAGGTGTGTCATAGCCGTTAGACTGGAAAATAGGGCTGTGAAGCTGATGTGCTCCCAACGCGATGCGAATGGGAGTAGGTCCTGAATGAGACAGTTTTGGGTCGCTGAAGTGAAGCCGGTATGGTCAAACGTGGATTGCAGTGATATGGACAGGGGGCATCGGTCGGATCGACCAAGCCACATCTTGGTGGTCTCAAGTCGCTGCGCCAGCTTCTCTTTGAATACGGGAGGGGCGTTATAGGGGCAGGTAGGCTCCACGATGTGAAGCCTTGACCACAGGCGGGGTGTCGATAGGGAGATGGATCGCCAAGAGCTGCATATGCGTCCAAGGAGCACCGGCGCTTCCACAGCGCTCATGACACAGTTGCGGTGGGCTGGAAGGCAAGCTACAAAAATCTCCTGGATTATGTCGAGCGGAAGTCTTCGAACCGGCGAAATGAGGGCCCTGTGGGCGTCTACAAAGGCGCTG